CAATGCAACCTCTACACCTAAGGCTCATAGAACATAGAACAAGGGGTAAAGCGAACCCTAACGCATCTCTTAGTTCTCCTCAATGAAGCTCCCTCATGCAACAGGGGGCCTGGAAACAAAAGGTCACAAATGGCCAAAGCATGGAGAAAAAGAGTCTGCAGAGTATGGGTCCTTGGTTAGGACTCCTATATTAAACTCCACCCACCCAGGGCTCAGGGACCATTGTGGAAGAGGGGGCAGAAAGATTGTAAGAGCCAGGGAGGAGGTGCATGATTGTAAAGAAATAAGAGTCCTACAGGCTCCAGTTCCAAGGGATCCAACACCCTCTTTTCATCTTCTACAGACTCCAGTTCCAAGGGATCCAACACCCTCTTTTCATCTTCTCGAGCACTGCCCAACACAGGTGCACTTACACACATGTAGGCAATATACTCATACATATAAAAAATTTTAAAAGTAAATAAAATATATAAAAGATATGCTTGGTCACTGTCCAATGAACATGGCTTTCCATTTCACCTAAGTTCACAAACACTGAAAACTGTTGACAGTCAGGTGCATGATTTTTTGCATGTACACCTCAGGATGCACCCCATAACCCATAAATCTTTGCAGAGCTAGGAGGAAATGGAAGGACAGTAGAGTGGGGCTGGGAAGCAAGAGAGAACATCATGGCCATGATTACATGCTCTTGCTGGTTTAGGAACATCTCACCATAAAAGGGTGTGCACACCAAAGCCTTTCAGTTGGAGCTACCGCCCTGTAGCCAGAGGCAGCTCTGCACGAGGGAGGCGGACTCCAGGGTCTGCAGAAGTAGCAACTAGCCTCCATTCTGCCACTTGCCAGCTGTGCAACCTTAGCCAAGTCACTTAATCTTTTTGCACTTCTTCATTTTAAAGGCGGTATCTGGAGGGACTGAATAACATACGTAGGGTACACAGCACAGAGCCAGATACACACAGACATTAAAAAAAAAATGATAATAGCCAGGCATAGTGGCGCACACCTTTAATCCCAGCACTCACTCAGGAGGCAGAGGTGAGTGAATCTCTGTGAGTTTGAGGCTAGCCTGGTCTACATAGTGAGTTCCAGGTCAGCTAGGGCTACAGGGAAACCCAAATGGTAATAAGAGTCAGGTTGTGATGGTGCACACCAGAAGTCCCAGCTACTCTGGAAGCTGAAACAAAGGACTTCTCCAGCCCAGGAATTTAGGGCCAACCTGAGGAACAGCAGCCAAACAGGGTTGGGAGTTTAGCTCAGCTCAGTTGGCACAGTGTATCCCCAGGGTTTATGAAGCACTGCAGAGACTGGGCATGGTGGTACACAACTTTAGTTCCAGACCTCAGAAGGTAGAGTCAGGAGGATCAGGAGTTCAAGGTCATCTTCAGTGATAAAGAGTTTGAAGTCAGTGTGATTTTTTTTGAGAGAGAGAGAGAGAGAGAGAGAGAGAGAGAGAGAGAGAGAGACTTTCCCAAAAACTGGGCGGGAGAAATGGCTCAGTGGTTAAGAGTACTGACAGTTCTTGCACAGGACCTGAGCACAGTTCCCAATACCCACATGTCGGCTAACAACCATCTGTAACTCCAGTTCCAGGAGATGCCTTATTCTGGCCTCCACGGGCATTCCATGCACATGGTACACTTACATACATGCAGGCAAAACACTCATACACACAAAATATAAATAAATAAATAATTTAAGAGAAAAACACCTGGGCTGGAGAGATGGCTCAGTGGTTAAGCGCACTGGCTGCTCTTGCAGAGGACCCAAGTTCAATGCCCAGTACCCACATGGTGGCTAACAACCATCCATAATTCCAGTTTCAGAGTATCCAACACCCTCTTCTGACTCCAGGGCATTGCATGGCACAGGTGTACTTACATACCTGCACACAATACACTCATACAAATAAAATAAAAATAATAAATAAAATATTAGCCAGGCATGGTGATGTATGTCTTTAATCCCAGCACTTAGGAGGCAGAGGCAGGTGGACCTCTGTGAGTTCAAGGCCAGACTGGTTATTGAGTTCCAGGCTATTTGGGACTATAAGGAGATCCTATCTCAAAAAGGCCAAAAAAGAAAAACACTTTCCCCAAACTCAATTTCAGTAAAAGCAGCACCTGCAGCACTGTGCCTTGAGGTCAGTGTCTATATCACCGCCATTATGTATACAATTTACTGATGGACAGACACCTCACCTCCACCTGCCCATGCTTAGCTCCAGTTACCTGCACCATTATAATGGGCCCTCCATTCTGGTAGAGGAGAGGCTTCATCTTGGGCAGAAGGACTGCCAACCACTTATCCACAGCTGCAAGATAGTCTGCAAAACAAGACAGTGTAATACCATCATATGCTTTTTTTTCCAACTTATTTTATTAATGTGTGATTATGCACATGCACATTTGTGTGTACATGTGTATATGAGTGCAGGTTCTGCCATGGGTTCCAAGGATCAAGTTCAAGTTGTCAGGCTCTTGCAGAAAGTGCTTTTACCAGCTGAACTACTTTGCCAGCCCCATCACACCATGCAGCCTGTCCCAGTGGGGCTGGCAACAAAGACCAGGGTACCAGGGTATATTGCACTCAACCATTATCATCTAAATGAGGTAGCCACAGTCTGATAAATGTGGTCCTGTAGCTGCTAGTTTTTTAGCTGAGTATGCCTGGTGTCTTTTTTTTTTTAAAAATGTATATGAGTATCTTGCCTGTGTGTATGTATGGCATCATGTGACTGTCTGGTGCCCTTGGAGGCCAAAGAGGGCATTGGATCCCCTGGAACTGGAGTTACAGATGGTTGTGCGCCACCATGTGGTGCTGGGAACTGAACCTGGGTCCTCTGCAAGAGCAGCCAGTTCTCTTAACCTCTGAGACATCTCTGCAGATGCACATGCACCTGAAACACACACACACACACACACACACACACACAGAGACACGAAAATAGAGATGTAACTTGCTGGGCACCAGCACTTGGGAGGCAGAGGCAGGTAGTTCTCTGTGAGTTCGAGGCTAGCTTGGTCTATACAGTGAGTTCCAGATCAGATGGGGCTACAGGGATACCCTGTCTCAAAAATACTAAAAAAAGAAAAGAAAATAGAGATGCAACTAAATGATTAGTCAGGATTTACAGTTAAAATAATCTCTCATTAACCAGGCATGGTGGCTGACGCCTTTAATCTCAGCACTCAGGAGGCAGAGGCAGGTAGATGTCTATGAGATCAAGGCCTGCCTGGTCTACATAAGTTCCAGGCTAGCTGGGGCTACAGAGAGGCCCTGTCTCAAAAAAACAAAAAAAAAAAAAAAAAACATCTCAAAAAACCTCTCCTCCCCAATCCCACATATAGAAAATAATCCCTCATAATTTAAAAAGTTAAGACAAAAAACTGTTATTGACCTCTCACTCTGTAAAAATAAAGAAACAGAAAACACAGCTAACAAGAAATATAGTGGCAGCACAGAACAGCCCTGCCATTTTGACTAGCTAGCTGCCATTGCTGGTGTGTAATATGCCAAATGTGTAGGAAGAGTGTTGGGAGACCTTTGTTGTGCAAAAGTCGAAGCTTCTTCACACCGGATAGCTCATGTAGCTCGGGATGTGCTGAGGGCTCCTTTGCATAACAAAGGGCTTCCCGGCATCTTTCCTGCCTCTCCTTTTGAGGAGTCTGCCATGAATGCCCTAAACATTAATGTGGCCTTTGTCTCTGAAAAGGTATCATACCTTCCTGTAAATTCCTAGCAGACAACTGTCTGGCAGAAGCCCACTTTTCACATGCAAAAGCATCTAGCAGCCAAGGCTTTTAACACAACCCCCATGGTATAAAAATCTTAGTCTTTCTCTCAATAGCAGGAGAATTTAGGGAAACCAGGCCAAGGAGTTCAGGGAGATCAGAGATATCAGAGAACTGAGTCTCAGATAATAAAGCTGTACAGACCAGAACTAAGCCTTGAGCCTTTGAGTCTTGTGTACCGGCGACCTGACCCCTCCGGAGGGCAGCACCTTCCGTTACCAACCTACGGATACTCTAGCTTCGCCGTCCTCGTGCCTCTTCCCTGTGGGGTTCAGTGGCCAGGAGCCCCACTATCCTGAGGAAAGGCATATGGGTGTATTAAGGGACGGGATTTCGACTGGACAGACGCTCCAGTAGCAGAGAAAGCTCAGCAGCAAGAGAAACTGCGGTAGTCATCAGCTACCGCCACTCCCAGAGATGCGGGACCCGAGCCGCCGAGCCCAGGCACGGACCCAAAGCAGCCGCCGGGAAGTCTGCGGACCCGCAGGGAGTGAGCATACGGCTGCACCCAGAGAAGAGAGAAAGTAGGTACTGAAGCCAGATGGTCAACCACAAATGGGGCTGCCAGTTCAAAGAGCTGCCCGTTTATCAGTAAGATCTGGTTGAGTCTTACGAGCAGCTGCAACCCCTACGCATTATATCTGGTACAGAACAGTAAATGGGAGTTTACACTCAGCCTTCCACTAAACACTACTTGTGCAGAAGTAGCCTGGCTCTACTTCAAAATGCCTATTTGTTTGTTTGTTTGTTTGTTTGTTTTTGGTCCTTTTGAGACAGAGTCTCCCTGTAGCCCCAGCTGGCCTGGGGGTTGTTATATAGACCAGGCTGGTCCGGATCTCACAGAGATCCACCTGCCTCTGTTCCCAAGTGCTAGGATTAAAGGTATGTTTCACCATGCCCAGCTGGCTCTTTTAGTATAACCTGCCTAAATTCTTATAAATACCTTAAGGCACCTCTAACTTACCTAGGTCAGAAGAGCGGAGAACAATAGATTCTTTCTCTAGTAGCCAAGCAGGTAATCCTCCCTATAGGACAGAAAAATAACAAGAAAAAAGCCATTATAATGTTGATTTCATGGCAGCAGATCACCATAATTACACCAGAGCAGGGGCAGGTCAGTTAACAAAGAGGTTTTCCGTTAACAAAAATGTTTCCATTAAGAAAAACAAGTTTCTCGGAACTGCAGAACCAACGGGCTCCATGGAGATGCAGGTATGGCTGGGAAGGAGGACGTGCTACCTGGCTACTTGTAAGTTTCCCAGTATTGTAAAAAGAATGTACCCTCTGAAACTACAGGTGCAGCCTTCATGGCTGTCTGGCTGCAGTGGGAATGGCCGGGCAGAAACACAGGGTAAAGCAAAAGTCAGAACAAAATTAAGTTAAGTTTTGTCATTTCAGCTCCACTTAATTTCAAAACCAGTCTGTGAAGCAAAGCAGACTCCATTCCCTGCTTCTGCAAGACAACCCAGCTTGTATGAGTGGCCAAGAGGAGGCCTCCCATGCTCGGGCCCCAGCCTGTTCCTCTCTGCCTGACCCCTTGCTAAGGGAACAGACACCTATGCTGTAGAGTCACAGCACCACCCAATCTTACACTGCTTTAATTCACTGCCCAGACCCCCTTCTGCCACTCCTGTCTTGCTCATGCTCATCAGACAGGCAGAAAGACTCCCATGCCAACACACTCACCATGTCCCACTCTGCACAGATGTAGGGCCCAGGCCTCAGGATCACCAGCAGTCCCAACTTATGAGCCAGTTGAATGAAATATTCCACATCATGGTCCCCAGAAAACTGGTACTGTCCTGGCTGGGGTTCATGGAAGTTCCAGGGTATGTACCTGCAAAGACATACACAGCCAGTCCTGACAGGTGGTATTGGAGGAAGAGGGGAGGAGATGAGGTTCTCTAGAATCGCTGCCAGTGCAGGCCCAAGAGTGGAACATGGGCCAACAGTATGGCTCAGCAGGTAAAGGTGCTTGCAAGCAAACCTAAACACCTGAGTTCAATCCCCAGGACCCAAATGATAGAAGTAGAGAACTAATTCCTGCAAGCTGTCCTCTGAACTTCCATATATATGGCGCACATACACACAAAATAAATAAAATGTAATTTTATGTCTTACAGGGTTTATACTGTGTTCAATAGTGTATAGCTGTATTAATTCAACTGTGAACCTAAAAATTTACAGCCACTTTTGAAAGAGATGTATCTGTGCTCTGGAATGTGTTACTGAATATGTTAAAGCTGTAATGAAATGCTTCTTCTAATCATGTGTTTCTTAAATTAAAAAAAAAAAATAAACCTAAAAAAAAAAAAGAATGTAAGCAATTTTGAGAGACAGTACCCAGTCTACAGCCATACCACCCTGAAGTCACCCAACAGCCTCTGATCTTGGAAGCTAAGCAGAGTTGGGCCAGGGGTAGTACCTGGATGGGAGCCAGTATCCAGAACCTGGAATAGAGCAAGAGGAAGACACCTCCTCTATGCCACACTGGAGACCGTCCAGGGGCCACCCATGGCCTCTTTCATTCTCTTTGGGAAATATTTTGCTTACTGACTAGTGATCAGGTCAGGTTACAGGTTAATCTGTAGTTTTTTGCTTGCTTTTGGTCTGGTAGGGACACAAATGCTTACTATCATATAGAGAAGATTTGTTTTGCTTTACTTTTTGTTTTGAGACAGGGTCTCCATGTAGCCCCAGCTGTGCTGGAACACTCTATACAGACCAGGCTGGCCTTGAACTCATAGAGCTCTGCCTTCCTCTGCCTCCCAAGTGCTGGGGTCAAAGGCTTTCCTAAATTCTCAGAGGATTTCAGATTACACCTGTCTACTTCTCTTCCTTAAGAGCCGAATCACTGTAGCGTTAGGGATCAAGCCCCACCGCTTATTAGGCACATGCTCTAATACAGAGCCCTAAACCAGCCCTCTAGGAAAACAATTTTCACAGAAACTATGACAGAAAACAATACCTTTAAGTTCATTGTAAACTTAAGAAAAAAATGACAGGAACACAAATATCTTGCTAAAGTAATAAGAGGTATATTTATTTGAAAAGTAAAGGTTAAGCCAGGCATGGTGGTGTATACCTGCAATCTCAGCACTTGGGAAGTGGAGGCAGGAGGATAAGGAGTTAAAGGCCAGCCTAGGCTACACAATAGGTTTGAGGCTAGCCTGGGCTACATAAGACCTTACATGAAAAATAAACAGGGGCTGGAGAGGGAGCTCAGTGGTTAAGAGCACTGGCTGCTCTTGCAGAAGACCTGGGTTTGATTCCCAGCACCTACATATGACAGCTAGTAACCATCCATAACTCCAGTTCCAGGGGATCTGATGTCCTCTTCTGACCTGAGGGCATTGCACAACATGGGTGCACTTACACACATAAATAGATAAATAAATACTTTAATTACAGTAAGACTAAGCCAGGCATGGTGGTACTTATCTGTTAAAATCTTAGCACTCAGGAGGCTGAGATAGGAGGATCAGACGTTCTAGAACAGCCTCGGCTACATAGAGAGATCCTGTGTTTCAAAAACCAAGGCTGGGGCTGGAGAGATGGCTCAGGTTAAAAGCACTGGCTGCTCTTCCAGAGGACCTGGGCTCAATTCCCATCATCTACATGGCACCTAACAACTGTCCATATTCCAGTTCCAGGGGATTTAACATCCTCTTCTGGCCTCTGTGGGCTTTGCATGACATGGGTACATTTACATACATGCAGGCAATACACTCATGCACATTAAAAAAAAAACAAAACAAAAAACAAGGCCTAGCAGGGTGTGGGGATGCACCCTCTAATTCCAGCATTTGGGAGGCAGAGGCAGATGGATCTCTTGTGAATTCAAGGCCAGCTTGGTCTATATAGAGAATTCCAGGCCAGCTAGGGCTACATGGAGACCCTGTCTCAAAAAAAATGAAACAAAACAAAACCCCCAAAACAACAGCAAATAAAAAAAAACAAGGCCTGGGGGGCTGGAAAGATGGCTCACGTACTGGTCTTGCAGAGAATCTTGGTTCAGTTCCCAGCACCAGCATGGCAGCTAACTCCAGTTCCAGAGGATCCAATGCCCTCTTCTGTTCTCTTTGGGCATTGTACACATGTGGTGCACTTGCATACATGGAGGCAAAATGCTCACAGACATAAACTAATCTTTAAAATTTAACAAAAAAACCCCAAGGTCTAGAGCTATAGCTCTGAAGGAGAGCTCTTGCTTAGCATGTACAAGGCCTTGAGTTTGGTCTCTAGCACTAAAAACAAAACAAAACAAACAAACAAACAAAAAACAAAAAGCAAACCAAACGAAAACACAGGAAAACCTCCAAGCCCTACATGAAGGCAAAAGGTGTCAGGAATACTAGACCAGGAGGTAAAATGACCCAAACTCCACCAGCTCTCCTGGCTCTGCACAGCATGGAAAACACATTTACAAACAGGCCACTTATTCTCACCACAGGCCTCTCTGATGACCCCCACTCATGTCCTTTTTTCACAGTCCCATGATTCCAGGATACCCTGGAACAGCCAGTCACAGTCTGCTGGAATTCAGTGCATAATCCACTGTAAGTAAACATGGGTTTTCTCTGCCAGTGGCCATAGAAACACAATAGTAAGTGGGACTCCCCCTAAGTATCTTCTAAACCATCTATGGCTTTCTCATCCTTTCTCTTGAGAAGTTATCTGCAATCTACATGAGGTCTGTAAAACCTAGAGTGGCCAGTGGCCCCACCTTCTCTCCTCCTAGTCACCCAGCAACAGCAACAGCAACAGCAGCAGAGATATGGACATGACTGCTGATGTGACCCTACAGCCGGGGCTCTTATGATTAACCCAAGAAGACAAGCTGGCTTTCAGGAACCCAAGTACAAGGCTTACTCTCTCCACACCAAAAGCTGCTATAGCTGGCTGCCTCCAGACTCCCTCATGTTCAGTTCCTAGCCGATTCTCTGACCGAAGACATGATCTTGGGGGAAATCTTAGTTTCACCAGTTATAAAGAGAAATGTAATGTCTATCTCAGTGTGCCAGTTAGTTTTTGTCAACATGAAACAAATTAGAGACCCCTGGAAGGAGGGAACCTCAATCAAGGAATTGTTTCCATTTGACTGCTGGTGGCCATGTCTATGAGGCATTTTCTTAATTGTTAATTGATGTGGGAGGTCCCAGCCCACCGTGGGCGGTGCCATCCCTAGGCAGGAGGGCCTTGGCTGCATAAGTAGCTGAGGCAGCCAGGGGAGCAAGCCAGTAAGCAGCATTCCTCCCATGGTCTCTGCTTCAGTTCCTGCCTTGAGTTCCTGCCTGACTTTCCTCAGAGATGAACTGTGCCTTGGAAGTATAAACCCTTTCCTCCCCAAGCTGCTTTTGGTCAGTGTTTTATCACAGCAACAGAAAGCAGACTAGAACACTCCGACAAATAGAGTCACACTTGTAAAAGTACCCTGCACCACCTCCCAAGTGCTCACTATTACCTGCCTTTGATTTTTTTTTTTAAACATTCATCTATTTGGGGGGCACATATGCACACATGTAGATGAGACAACAGTTTGCAGGAGTCTGTTCTCTCCTTCTACCATGTGGATCCCAGGGATCCAATTCAGGTTATCAGGTTTGGTGGAAGGCACCTTACCTGTTAAGCCATCTCTCCAGCCCCTGCCTTTGTCTCTTTAAGCTGATTTCTACTTTATGATTTCCAGTAATGAAGTTCAAGTGAGAAGTAGTTCCTTGCATGAAGGCCAGTCAAGCTCTTGACACGCCCTTCCCAGATGGCCAGGCAGGGCTAGTTCCTACTTCTGAGCAATGGAATAGCTGATCTGGGAGAAATATAGCTGGGTATGGATGCTGGGGGTCAGGTGAGGAGAGAGGCAAGTACCCCGTCCTTACATCTGGATGGCGTTCAGCCCGGCCATCTTCATCTTCAGCAGCCGGTCCTTCCAGTAGAAGCTGGGCACCCTGAAGTAGTGGATGCTTCCCGAGATGTAGCGGAATGGCTGGCCATCCTTGAGGAAGCGGTCCTGCCTGTAGTCCAGCACAAATGTCCTCCGAGAGACATTCTGCAGGGCAAGGAAGGGACCCCATGAGAGTGTGGACCTGCATTTTAGAAACAGAGCCCTGGGAAGGGGCAGGTGACTCCCTGTCTACTTAATTTACAGAATGTATTGGTGGACTTAATATTTACTCTTTGGGGTGTCAATCAAGCCATTGCTCAGCCAGGCATACTGTGTGACTCAGAGTCATCAAGGAGGGTTCCAGGGGTTTATCTCCCTGAATCCAGGACCCATAGGTGCTCAGGCTAAGGTGATATCTATTGTGCTGTGAGGCTTGAGACAGGATCACACACATCTTGGATGAGCTCAACAGTAGTGTCACTAGGATCATCAAGTTCCATTCAGAAAAGTCCAAGTATAAAATACAGGGCAAAAGCAATGGATTAGGGGCTAGGGATGTAGTTCAGTTGGAAAGTGCGTATCTAGCATGTAGGAGGCCCTGGGTTCCATTCCTATCCCTGAACAAACTGGGTGTGGTAGTTCAAACCTGTAATCCTAGCAATAGGGAGATAGAGGCAAGAGAATCAGGAGTTCAAGGTCATCCTTGGCTATATATGAAATTTGAGGCCAGCCTGGGCTACAGGAGCCCGTTTCAAACAAACAAAAAAGAAGCAACATATCCAGAAAGCCCCATCTTAGTGCCAGCTCTGAATCCCAGAAGGACTTGAACTAGTGTCCTTTGTAACCCTACATCTCATCCATAAATAACCAAGATATTAGATGAAAGCAACTTTAAAGCAGCATTTTTCACTCTGTAGGCTACAATCCAATTTGTGAGTCATGGATTGAATTTGGGGGTGATCACATCTTTTCAAAATAAAATAGAAAACAGTGCATAGCAAAGCAAAGCATTACTTTGTGAAATGTGTGTTGTACGGTGTAGAGGGACATGTATATCTCCAGTGGCTGAAATGTAAGATGTGTTCCTAAGAGTCAAACAGCCTTAAGAAATCCAGTCTGGGGTTCATCAACTGCTGTTAGGCAGAGTGGAACACTGCACCCTGGTGGATGAACTTGGTAGCAACAGGCAACAGACACCATCAAGCCAGTGTTATAAGAAGTCATCTTCTTGGTGCCCTCCAGCATTAAGAAAATGCCTTGTGGACCTTTAAGCTTTGAAGGGACACATGTTAGCTTTAGTCCAGCAGCATCGTAGTCCACAGTAGCTCTGGAAACCATCTAGAAGCATCTGAAAGCAACTGTGAGAGCACTGAATCCTGATAGCCACTCAGAGTCAACAGCTCCATCGATTTGTTGGAGCTATTGGACCACTAAACATTTTCTTAAAAAAGATTTTATTTTAATTTAATGTTATTTGTGAGTGTCTTGCCTGCATGCGTGTAAGTATGCCATGCGTATGCCTGGTGTCCACACAGGCTAAAAGAAAGTGGGATCCCCTGGAACTGGAGTTAACTGATGGTGTAAGCTGCCATGTGGGTGCTGGGAACTGAACCAGGTACTCTGGAAGAGCAGAAAGTGCTCCTAACCACTGAGCCATCTCCCAGCCCCAATGGATCACTGGACTTTAAGAATGTCCCCCATCAAAGGTCTAGCTCTCGGCTTCTTTGTGGATCTTTGGGGTAAAGTTCAGTGGTGGCTTAGGACCACTTCCCAGGTGGGACTGTGTACTTCATGTTGAATCAAAACATGAGAAGGGTGGCTAGACAATACTGCTACTGTCTTAATGTTACTGAGGCTGTGAACTAAGCAGAGGGAGGCTGGTTGCTCTGGAAAAACCCATTTCTGGTATAAGGGAACCAGTCACAAGGTGTCAAGACTGAGGAAAGAAGGACACAGACCCAGGACTGCACTGAGTGCAGTTCACTGAGGACTCAACAGATGTGTGGACCTGGGCAGAGGAGGACTTTAGCTCTTCACAAGTGGGGCTAGAAAATGAGGTGTGCACACACAGGCTTTCATTCTCTCCTCCCACCCCTCATTCCTAAGCTCTTGGTTGGTTTCTCAAACCATGTACCTAAACCTCAATCAGGCTCTGTTTCCATAAGAACCCAGACTAGGACATGCGGAGCCAGGAATAGCCCCATGTGACAGCCTTTTATAAAAAACATGTTATCTTTTTGTTTTGGGGGGTTTTTGTTTGTTTTTTGGTCTTTTTGAGACAGGGTCTCCCTGTAGCCCCAGTTGTCTTGGAACTTGCTATGTAGACCAGACTGGACTTGAACTCACAGAGATCCGCCTGTCTCTGCCTCCCAAGTGCTGGGATTAAAGGCCTGTGCCATCACACCCAGCTAAAAAATGGGCTTTTAAATTTTTTATTTTTATTTATGTATTTTGCCTACATGTATGTTAGTGCACCACCTGTGTGCAGTGCCCACAGAGGCCAAAGAGGGTGTCAGATCCTCTAGAGCTGGGGTTACAGATGTTGTTAGCCACCATGTGGGTGCAAGAACAACCAGTGCTCTTTAACAGCTGATCCATCTCTTTAGCCCTGATGGTTAATTTTGATTGTCAAGTTGATGAGATTAGACTCACTGAGGAGATAGACCTCTGGGTACTTCTATGAGGGAATTCTCAAAGGGTTTAATTGAGGTGGGAAGATCGACCCCAAATATGTGCGGCACCATTCCACGGGTTGGGGTCCCAGACTGAATAAAAAGGAGAAAGTGAGCTGAGCACCAGGCCTTTCCCCCCACCCCCTGCTTCTTGATTGTAGATGCAAAGTGACCAACACCTCACACTCTTCCCTCATGCCTGCCCACCACGAGCCAAGCAAGTAAGCAAGCAAGCTGCCTTCTTCAAGTTGCTTTTGTCAGATGTTTCCTCACAGCAATAAGAAAAGCAACTAATATCCCTAAATGTAGGCCATGCCTCTGTACCTGCATTTCTCAGAGCTATCAAACAGCTACCAGACCCTAGAACCAGTGCTTAGTGGGTAAGGATACCTCAAAATGCAAGGCACACCCCTTGTCTATGCTGGATAGGGTAGAGGTTCAGGTTGAAGGGGAGGGATTGGCAGGCTTTTTTAAAACTTTATTTATAGCTAGGTATGGTGGTGTACACCTTTAATCCCAGCACTCGGGAGGTAGAGACATCCATGTGAGATGGAGGCTAGCTTGGTCTAAGTAAAGTTCCAGGACAGCTGCGGCTACAGGGAGATCCTGTCTCAAAAACTTGAAAAAAATATTTATTTATTTATTTATTTATTTTTATTATATGGGGGCTGGAGAGATAGCTCAGTGGTTAAGAGCACTGGCTGCTCTTGCAGAGAACTCGGGATCAGTTCCCAGCACCTACATGGTTACTAACAACCATAACTCCAGTCCCAGGAGATCCAATGCCCTCTTCTGGCCTCCTTGGGTTTCCAGGTACATGGTATACTTACAGGCAGGCAAAACACTCATAAACATAAAATACAAATCAATCAATTTTTTCTTTTTCTTAACTCTCTTTATTGTGTGTATGATGTGTGTGTGGGTATGCGTGTCCTGTGCTGCACATGTGGAGGTCAGAAGACAACTTTTGGAGTCAGTTCTCTCCTTCCATCTTGATGTGGGTTCCAGGGTCAAACTCAGGTCATCAGGCTTGCACAGCGAGCACTCTACTCACTGAACCATCCAACTGGCCAGGAGCTGGAAGTGCTTTAGCTCTCTAGGGTTACCGGGAACTGGAGAGACTGGGAGGTAGGCTGGCTCTGTTAGCAGATTTGGGAGCTTCAAAGAAAGGGCCTGACAGGTCCATACCAGCCAGCTACTCAGGACTTCTGTGAACAGCATAAGCTTGTGTAAGTGTGTTTGCAGAAACCTACATCTTCTACCAGAAAAGCAGGGTCCAGGACATACCCATGGCATGACACTGGGAATGAACCTGAAGTGGGCAAGGCACACAGTGGTCTGAGAGAGGATGCTGGCATGGTGTATCTTGCCCTGACTCAGAAGCTAAAACCTTGGGATGGACTCAAGTCCCTATGCTCCTGGGATGATTTCCTGGATCCAAACATGACACCAGCCTGCAGGAAGGGGAGGGGAGATGCTGGGAGTGCCTCTGACCCCGAAGAAAGGATGGAGTGACTCGGGGAGGTGGCACTGTAAAGATGGACAGCAGGGGAACCCATCCAGTTATATAAACCATATGCCGCAGGAGAGCCCAGTAAAGAATGCATTAATGAGGAGAGCTTCAGCAACCTCAGGGGCTTTATGGTAGTGTCCTCAGTAGATGAGCAATGACAGAAGATACAGCAAAGGCACTGGGCCCCTTCTATTACTGGGGACCATGAGATCCTGGCATTACCAAGAGAGACCACTATAAACAACAGATTCCCAGTCAAGTCAGGTGGCAGTCACCACCAGTTGTGATCCTGGGCAATAGCTTGGAAACCATAGCACCTTGTGTAGTAAGATGGTCAAGAGTAGTGAGGGCACTGCTTGATGTGTTTAATGAACCAGGAACTTGAGAGCAAAGGCTGTCAGCCACTGCAATGGAAAATTGAGGCGCTTTCATCTAGTTCTCAACTTTAAGCCAGTTACTTGATACACCGCTAACTGGCTAAATGGAGGGGTGAATGAGTCACTTAAGGAAGTGCCATCACTAGCACAAGCAATAAATATTCCCCAGCCTTCAACAATGGGACCTAGGGTACCTGTATCCTTAGGAAAGAGGTACCCTCCAATCTTAGGAAACTGCTGGGTCTAGTCTGAGCCAACACTAACACCAGGGCATGTGGCATCACTCCTGGGGAGACCAGGGGAACTTGGCCCAGGTCTTTCACACAGTAGATCCAACAAGTCAGAGGGCATGTCCTATGGTTATCTCCCTAGTTTGGGTGCAAACTGGGATCAAATTGGGATGGTTTTTCCAACTGTAGCAGAAGCCTCACCATGTACAAAAACCTTTATGGACCAAGTGAAAGTTCTCCAACTGTCTCCTTCCCTAAAATAATCCGATTGCAAGACCATAGACCTCCTGAGCCAGCAGCTACTAGGGCCCCCTCCACCAAGATTTAAAGGCTATCCCCATCCAATCCCATCTGAACCCCCATGAGGCCCTGC